GTGGTGGTGGGCGCCTGTAGTCCCAGCCACTCGGAAGGCTGAGGCAGGAGAATGGCGTGAACCCGGGAGGCGGAGCTTGCAGTGAACAGAGATGTGCCACTGCGCTCCAGCCTGGGCGACAGAGCGAGACTCCGTCTCAAAAAAAAAAAAAAAAGAAAAAAACTAGAAAGCCTGGATCCGCTTGAGAGGCCATCACTGAAAGGCAGGAGCTCCTCACCGACGCATATACCCTATCTAGCTCAAGTGGTATCCCCGGCCACCAAGCACAGCGCCTGCCCGCGGTAATAATTGCCACCTCCCAGTGGGAGCTGCAGATACTTGCCAGCGTTCTTGCTGAGCACTGTGCCAGGAATATCACAAGCATTAACTTGTTTAATCCTCATAATAACCCCGGGAGATCAAGCCTCTTTTCATGCCCACATGAGAAACGGGACCCAGAGAGGTGAAAGGATTTGCCCAAAGCCACGCAGCACGTGTCCCTGGGAAATTTGAACCCTGGCAGGGCCGCTGAATTAGGCTAAAGGGACCTCCTCCCTTGGGAGCGCTGAGTGAGGGTTTCTTGCATGGATGGATGAATGAATGAACGAATAAATTAATGAATGAAACAGAAATACCCAAAAGGGAAAGACAGAGACACAGAAAGTGACACGAAGAGACAAAGGCACACAGAAGAGACATCGGGGAGGAAAGAAGCAGAACCGAGCCCTTGAGCGTCTACACTGACCCTGAGCGGGAGAATAGCGAACGGGGAGTGGGGGGTGTCTACACAGACCCAAACGCTCCTAGAGGGAGAGAGCCGGCAGCGAACGCCCTTGGGAAGATCCCCGAGTCCTGGAATGGGGAAGGGGCGTGGCCGGGGCGTGGCCATCCGCGGGCGGGGTCAGCGGGCTGCGGACCCTCTGGGGTCAGTCCAGGGGCGAACTCCTCACCCCGGATCTGTGGAGTCAACTATGAACGTCGTACAGGTCTTCTTCTTGAAGATCTTGGGGATCCAGCTCTGGGGACAGAAACAAGTGTAGGGGTGGAAGTGGGGTGGGGGGCACCCAGTTCTGTCCTATGGGACACAGAGCCACCCACCCTGTGCGTTCCCCACGGACACAGGAGTCCGGGCCCCCAGCGCCCTCCTGCTCCAGACTCAGGAATCTCGACCCCCATGCCAGGGACCCTGGAACCCGGACCCTCCCATCCCCCTCCTTCGTCTGACCCAGGAATCTGGGTGTCCAGCGCTGGGAGCCTGGAGGCGAGGTCCCCAGCTCCACGCTCCCGCAGACCCGGGTCCGGCGCTCACCTGCTCCTTCTCTGACACCACCATGCTGCCGCGGCCGCCGCAACCTCCAGCAGCCCAGGGCCCCGGCTCTTCTTCGGCCTGCTCTGCTTCCAGACCCGCCCAGGGCAAACCGGATCCTCCACTTTCCAGCCCAGCCTAGGGCGGGGCGAGGTCTGGGGGGCGGGGAGTCTTGGAGACGCCAAAGCGGGAGGCGGGGAGAGGGCGGTCCCAGGCCGCGATAAGGGGACAGAGGGACAGCGACCTAGGGGGTGCAGAGGCCCGGGCCAGGGGCTGTGGGGGGCCAGAGACAGGTAGGGGAGACTCTGAGGGCAAGAGCGAGATGGGGACAGAAGGAGTTGGGGGCCAGTGGCGGAGAGGGAACAGAGACTCGGAGGATGCCAGACAGAGAGGGGACAATTTAACCCAAAAAGAGAGAGACAAAGACTTAGGGGACAGAGAATCAGAAGGTGGGACAGCAAGGACCCAGGGATAGACAGAGAGGGAGAGAGACCCAGGGAGAGGGGAAGAGAGAGCCGGGCAGAGAGGGGGACAGAGACCCAGGGAGGGGTGTAGAGAGACCCAGAGAGTGGGGGACAGAGACCCAGGGAGAGGGGGAGAGAGACCCAGGGAGAGGGGGAGAGAGACCCAGGGAGAGGGGGACAGAGACCCAGAGAGAGGGGGACAGAGACCCAGAGAGAGGGGGACAGAGACCCAGAGAGAGGGGGACAGATATCCAGAGGGGGGGGTACAGAGACCCAGGGAGAGGGGGACAGACACCTGGAGAGAGGGGACAGAGACCCAGGGAGAGGGAGAGAGATACCCAGAGGGAGAAGGGGATAGAGACCCAGAGAGAGGGGGACTGATACCCAGAGATAGAGGGGGATGGAGACCCAGGGAAAGGTGGACAGAGACTCCAAGAGAGAGGGTGACAGAGACCCAGAGAGAAGGGGGAACTGAGACCCAGAAAGAGAGGGGAACAGAGATCCAGAGAAAGGGGCAGAGATCCAGGGAGAAGGGGACAGAGACCCAGAGAGAGATGGGGACATATACCCAGAGAGGGGGACAGAGACTCAGAGACAGAGAGACAGAGACCTACAGAGAGAGGAATAGAGACCCAGGGAGAGAGGGAGAGAAACCCAGAGAGAGAGGAGGACAGAGACCCAGGGAGAGGTGGACAGAGACTCCGAGAGAGTGGGGGACAGAGACCCAGAGAGGTGGATGCCAGAGATGGGGAGGAGACACCTTGACTGAGGCAAGGGGCAGTGGGGGATGAAAAACCAAAGAATTGGGCAAAGGGCAGGAACTCAGAAAGGAGGGGCCAGAGATTTAGGGGAGAGGGCACAGGGGAGAGAGAGGGACACAGACTTGGGTGGAGGACAGACACTCAGATGAGAGCGGGACAGAAGCCCAGAGGGAGAGGGAGAGGCAATGCCACGGAGGAGGGACAGGGACCCTGAGAGAGCAGATGACAGAATGGAAGAGAGAGGAGGACCTGTGAACAGGAAGGGAGACGGTAGTGGGGGCAGTCATGACCGGTGAGGAGCAGGAGATACTGAAACACAGAGACGGGCAAGGCCACTTGTCTCCTGCCAGCCCTCTGTGACGGGGACAGCTGCGGCCTCCGTAACCTGAGTCCCCCTACCCCTCCCAGCTGTATTTATAGCCCTGGCCTAGCCCAGTCCCTTCCCCCAGATCTGAGTTCCAGGGACAGGAGGTCATAGGCACGTGTGTTGGGGGCCATGTTCCTTTCCCCCCCTTCCAGGGCCTCAACATTGGCATCACTCTCTCACCAGCGCGTGTCATTCCGGCTGGAAGCACCCCACAGTCAAACCCCCAGTCCTTCCATGCGAGGGGTCTCTCCCCTCTGATAAGTCTCTTCTGCCTCCCCCAGGTGCCCCAGGCTCCCCCAAAAACCTGCTAAAAGTCTAGCCTTTTTCTTTGCAGCTGCCAAACATGAGCTTGTTGGTAGGTCAAAGTCAAGTCCCTTGGCCCCCATCTCCTGGCCAGGGAGAGACCCCTCACTGGTCGCCTCCCCAGCTGGGAGGAGGAGGAGCAGGAGGTGGCAGGCGGGGACTGACCCAGAATAACTCAGGGCTGAGAGTAAATTTAGCCGGAGAGAGGGGAGGGGAAAGACCCTATTGGCTGGGGAATGGGGAGGGAGGGCCCCAGAGGGGGGTCAGGGGGCTCCGGAGGCAGCCTCAGAGGGGTGTCCAGAGCCAGGCAGCAAGGACCAGAGGAAGGTGGACAGAGACCGAAAGGACAAAGCAAAGGAGAGACACAGAGAAAAAAAGAGACTGACCCCAAAGGGACAAAGACCCCAACATTTGTCCACCTCGCCGCAGAGGCAGCTGGAGTCAGTGCTGCCTGTCCGTCCCCATGGGCCACCGTAGGCCATGGCTGCACACTGCTGTCCTCTGGGCTGGGGTGGCCAGCCTGCTCCTCCCCCCGGCCATGACCCAGCAGCTGAGAGGGGCTGGGCTGGGCTTCAGCAACTGGAACAACAACGCTGGAGTCACCGGGCTCTCCCAGGAGGCATCGGCAGAGCTTGGCCACCACCTCCACAGCCCGAGAAACCATCCAGATGAGAACGAGGATGTTTCCACAGAGAATGGACATCATTTCTGGAGCCACCCAGACCGTGACAAGGAGGATGAAGACGTCCCCAAGGAATATGAGCACCTACTCCCAGGCCACAGGTCCCAAGACCATGAGGTTGGAGACGAGGATGTCTCAGGTGAGGAGGTCTTTGCACAGCATGGTGGGCAGGCCCGTGGGCACAGAGGCCACGGGAGTGAAGACACGGAAGACTCAGCTGAGCACAGGCACCACCTCCCCAGCCACAGGAGCCACAGCCATCAAGACGAGGATGAGGACGAAGTTGTGTCCAGTGAGCATCGCCATCATATCCTCAGGCATGGACACCGAGGCCATGATGGGGAAGATGATGAAGGAGAAGAGGACGAGGAGGAGGAGGAGGAAGAGGAGGTCTCCACTGAGTATAGGCACCAGGCCTACAGGCACCGAGACCACAGGAGTGAAGAGGATGAGGATGTCTCAGATGGACACCACCATCATGGCCCCAGCCACAGGCACCAAGGCCATGAAGAAGATGACGATGATGATGATGATGATGATGTCACCACTGAGTATGGACACCAGGCCCACAGGCACCGAGGCCACGGGAGTGAAGAGGATGAGGATGTCTCAGATGGACACCACCATCATGGCCCCAGCCACAGGCACCAAGGCCACGAAGAAGATGACGATGATGATGATGATGATGTCACCACTGAGTATGGACACCAGGCCTACAGGCACCGAGGCCACGGGAGTGAAGAGGATGAGGATGTCTCAGATGGACACCATCATCACGGCCCCAGCCACAGACACCGAGGCCACAAAGAAGAAGAAGATGATGATGATGATGTCTCCACTGAGTATGGACACCAGGCCCACAGGCACCAAGACCACAGAAAGGAAAAGGATGAGCCTGTCTCAGGTGAACACAACAATCATGTCCCTGACCACAGGCACCAAGGCCACAGAGACGAGGAAGAAGATGAGGATGTGTCCACTGAACATTGGCACCAGGGTCCCCAACGTGTCCACCATGGCCTTGTAGATGAGGAAGAGGAAGAAGAGGAGATCACAGTCCAGTTCAGCCACCGTGTTGCAAGCCACCAACCTCAAGGCCACAAGAGTGAGGAAGAGGACTTCCAAGATGAGTATAAAACAGAAGTTCCTTACCATCACCACCACAGAGTCCCCAGGGAGGAAGATGAGGAGGTCTCCGCTGAGCTTGCCCACCAGGTCCCCAACCACAGGCAAAGCCACCAAGATGAAGAGACTGGCCATGGTCAAAGAGGGTCCATCAAAGAGATGAGCCATCACCCCCCAGGACACACAGTGGTCAAGGATAGAAGCCATTTGAGGGAGGATGATTCTGAGGAGGAAAAGGAGAAGGAAGAGGATCCCGGCTCCCATGAGGAAGACGATGAAAGTTCAGAGCAGGGAGCGAAAGGCACCCACCATGGCAGCCCGGACCAGGAAGATGAGGAGGATGAGGAGGAAGGTCATGGCCTCAGCCTGAATCAGGAGGAGGAAGAAAAGGAAAACAAGGAGGAGGAGGAGGAGGAGGAGGAAGAGGAGGAGAGGAGAGAAGAGAGGGCTGAAGTTGGGGCCCCACTGAGTCGAGACCACAGCGAGGAGGAGGAGGGGCTGGAGGAAGATGAGCCCCACTTCACCATCATCCCCAACCCACTGGACGGGAGAGAGGAGGCTGGAGGTGCCTCCAGTGAGGAGGAAAGCGGTGAGGACACAGGTAAGTGGCCTGGGCTGGTGTGGGTGTGGAGAAACCAAGTCAGCCTGGGTCACTGCTGCCCTTCTGTCCCCGCAGGTCCACAGGACGCTCAGGAGTACGGGAACTACCAGCCAGGGTCCCTGTGTGGCTACTGCTCCTTCTGCAATGTATGTCCCCAGCCCAGACCCACCCACCAAGGTGTCCCCAGAATCTGTCCCAGGGGCCCTGGGGTGGTGCTGTGGGAGGGCTCAGAGCAAGGTCAGGCCAGGGTCAGTTCTGAATGAAGAGATCCTTATGCAGGCATGTGAGGTGAGGACAGACTGAAGGCTGGGGTGTGGGGACAGAGACAGGGGTCTGTGGCAAAGAGAGTTGGGGAAAGGAGGGACGGCACAGGGGCTGATAGTCTAGGGGGAGAATAGGGAGAAAGGGGGTAGAGAGAGCACCTGAGCCCACCCTGAGTGGGGGACATGGGGTCGCCATGAGATAGAAAACCAGGGCAGGGCCGGGCATGGTGGCTCACCCCTATAATCCCAGCACTTTGGGAGGCCAGGGCAGGTGGAACACGGGGTCAGGAGATCGAGACCATCCGGGCTAACACGGTGAAACCCCATCTCTACTAAAAAATACAAAAAATTAGCCAGACATAGTTGCATGCACCTGTAATCCCAGCTACTCAGGAGGCTGAGGCAGGAGAATCGCTTGAACCCGGGAGACAGAGGTTGCAGTGAGCCGAGGTTGTGCCACTGCACTACAGCCTGGGCAACAGAGAGAGATTCCCTCTCAAAAAA